TGCAGTTTAATTTACAAAAGAAGGAATGGGTGCCCACACTTTGAACCGGCTCAGGAAATATTCAACAAAACTTGGAAATATTATTCGTAGTAACCCATTTTTGTATAAATTTTGGTATAAAACAATTAAAAAAGTATAAGTCGGTTGTGCCGACAGATGCCAATGTTCGAATATTTCAAAAAAATGACTTGTTATGATTATTCAAACTCGTGACTCTCTATGGAGCGGCTTTTGAAAGAATGGGCCAATAATATATATTTTTGAAGAGAGTCGGATGATTATTTCGCGTTTTGTTTTTCAAAATCTTGAACCCTATGTGGGGCAGGTAGGAAAAGAAATGGTCTACCATCTCTATAGCAGATCTTGTGTTAATGGAAATATTCAAATATACCAAGTCTGGAATTGGAATCGGATGTTGATTTCGCTTTTTATGAGCTTCAGGGGTATTCAAAATGTTGAACCTTTGTGGGGGAGGTATCAGAAGGAGATGACCGATATATCCCATCTTCACAACAGATCTTGTGTTAGCAAAAATGTATGTATGTGTGAAATATAAAGAGAACCTGATGCTTATTACGGATATATAAACGTTTCGGTTATTCAAAATTTTGACTCTTTGTGGAGGAGGTACTTGAAGAAATGTTTCGAACTCTGTTTTGATATAAATATTCAGATGTGCCAAGTCTAGATAGAATCGGATGTTAGTTTAATGGATATTCAAAATTCCGACCTTTTGTGGGGGAGGTACCAGAAGGAGTGGACCGATTTATTCCGTTTTACTACCAGATCTTGGTTTCATAAAAATAGTTGGATATGTGAAATTTGAAGGCAGTCGGACTCTTACATAATATTTTATTAGAGTTGTATTTATTCAAAATGTTGACCCTTTGAGGGGGAGGCTTGATGGAGTGGGCCGATATTGTCCATTTTCGCACCTGACCTAGCACTGACGCAAATATTAGGATTTGGAGGGAAATCGGATTATCGTTTCTCTTTCTGTGCAGAAAATATTTCTGTGTTTGAAAATTTTGACAGTTCGGGGGAGTTACCAGAAGGAGTGGACCGATATTGCCCATCTCCGAACTCGATCTAAGTTTGACAAAAATATTACAATGTACCAAGTTTGGACCAAATCATATACTCTCTGAGAGTTATCGCGCTCACCAGCCAGACAGACGGACGGGCATAGCTAGATCGACTCCAATTGTCCTGAAACGGATTTGGTCCAAAGAGACCTAGGGTCTAAAACCGTTATTTCGATTAGGCACGTTTTGACCGGATTCAAATGATATATACCCTCTCTAGCCATATGGCTAAGGGTATAAAAAGGTAAACAAAGGCTAGAGTCGGGCGGGGCCGACCACTATATTTTACGGTAAAGTTTCTGTAGATCTGAGACTACAAAATAAAATAAACTAACAGAGTTACAGACGGCCATGACTAGATCAACTCAGTTCGATCGTAGGTCTTTTACTAATATTTCAAAGTGTTTCAAACGCTTTGGCTCCATCAAACTTATAAATACAATAATGTTGTAAAGTGCAAAAATATTACAAAATGTACAATTCAATATTATGAGTCGAAAATCAGGAAAATTTGCTGTTCTTTGTCCATTTAAACCCCTAAATATTTTGTGATCATCTCGGCGATACTGGAAGGTCCATATATAGCATCGTGGGTCTAGGATCAATATAGAGGGGACATAAAATAGAGTAGACATATAAATAAAATACCATTTTTTATTTTATGTGGATTCAACAGTAAGCGCAAGAGAGCGAACTTATGAGAAGGCATGGTAGAAGAATACAGGTAGTCGCATAGACACAGCTGCTGGGACAATGAACTGTAAAACCAATTTTGAAATTGAAAATGTTGAAAAAAATTATTCAAATTTGTAAAAATTTGTTGGAAAATACTTATTTTAACATCCTCTGATTGGTGTCGTATAAGAAAAAAAATCTACTTATTTTTGAAAAAAAAAATAAAATTTTTGACAAATCAATATTCCCAAGCGTTGACACATTTACCTGTATTTTTCTACCATGTGAGGAGGCAACGCTAACATTCTATTTGGTAGAATAATGCATTGACTTAATGTTCTTCTTTCCTTTCCTTTCTTCTTTCCTTTAGAATTAATGTCAACATTGTATGTCACATTTCTAGTGGCAATTATAACACTTTTACTAAAAGCCTAACAGAGTTGTATTTTATTATAATGTCTAGTTTGTATATTAACTAAAGGGTTTATGTCTAAGATGGGTATGTCTAGACTAAGCCTTATGGTGACGTATTTGACACGTGGCACAATTTGATATTATTGTGTTACATATACGATACCGTACCGTAAACTTGGCGTTTGTGATGCCTTAGTTTTTTCGAATTCATTATTGTTGGTGGATGTCTAAGCTACTGAAACAACGAAAATAGTTAAAGTAAAAACAAAACCATAGACGTTAATGCAAATTTCATTGTTGTTATATTTCGGTGGATGATTCCTTGTAAAGTGTGCTTTTTAATAAAGAACTAGCTAAACTCAGTGCGCTTCGCTACCCCTTTTGATTTTATATGCATTCAAATTTTTAATACGAATATATGTTGGTTTAAAAAAAATCAAAAATTAAAAAAAAAAGATTTTTTTAATACTATAATGCAGCAAATAGCTCGGTCTACAAACCCATGAACTATAAATGAACAGCTGACCATGAGAAAAGTAGTAACATGCCATGCATACACGAAGGGTTTGTCCTTCGGATTTATTATTTTCATAGCAAATGCCAAGCATGCAGGAAACTGCAATCTTTTGAAATTGAGTGGCATTTCTGTTGCATTTGGTGAATTGGAGGTAGCAACATACTTCCCCGTAATAATCGTATCCTCAATTAAATTGTTGAGTAGTTTTTAACTGTTAGCCTGATACCATTATAAAGTCGTGGGTCGATGCTTCTTAATAAAATCGTATCCCAATCTGAACCGATTTTAATATAAATTGACAAAATCACTTTTACACCAAATTCCGTCACACCTTTCATATTTCATTGAAATTGGAGAAACATAGCGTTCTTGGTTCATCAAAAATACGAAATCGGCCGCGAGTATATATGCGTATATACCTCAACCGATTACAATATAATTTGATTTTTTTTTGTACCAAATTTCGTCTCTCTGTCGAATTTTATTGGAATCGGAATCACATATCGCATTACGCGCATGAAATGTATAAAATCGGTCGAAAATATATATAGGAGCTACATCCAAATCTGAACCGATTTGAATATAATTTGAGAAATTTATTTTCTGATCGAACCCCGTCACGTATTCCAAATTTCATTGGAATCGAACATAAATGTCGTGTTTGGTGTATCAAATAAACGAAATCGGCCGAAATTATATATGGGAGCTTTATCCAAATCTGAACCGATTTCAATATAATTTAATTTAACAAATGTACATTCGTTTTAAATTTCGTTAACATTCCAAATTTCATTGAAATTAGAAATACATAGCATGTTTGGTGCGCCAAATACATGAAATCGGTCGAAAATATATATGGGAGTTATATCCAAATCTGAAACGATTTCAATATAATTAGATAAAAAAAATTTTAGATAAATTCCATCACACATTTCAAATTTCATTGGCCCAATTCACACGAAAGTAATTTGTAGTCCAAACTAATTTTTACTTTCCAAAACATACGAGACTAATGAAACTGTCTTAAACTGATTGACGTATACACAGCTTTATGTGTGTTAGTATTTCTGTATTTATTTTTTTTTCATGAGTGTGCATGTATTAGTTTAGTTCTGCTAATGCGTTGTTGAGGCTGGATAAAATTTTAGTCCAACCAAAAAACGACTCTCCTCACCGAAAATGCTTTCAAGCTGCTTTGTTAGACTCTCGTGTGAATTAGACCATTAAAATGCATGAAATCGTCGAAATTATATATGAGAGTTGTATCCAAACCTTAACCGATTTTAATATAATTTGGCAAATTTTTTTGTTCCAAATTCCGTTACGCATTTAAAATTGGGAGACTGTATCTGTCTGTAATCTATCAATCGATATGTTCATATAAAATCTAAATTTTTGGGAGGTACCGCCTATTCTGATGCTATATCTCCAGTTCCAAGTGGTATTTAAATAAAATTATATAGCCTATATTACTTTCAGGCAATGTTGAAGTATACTAGGAAATTTTCAGGAAAATCTGTGGAGCGGTTTCGAGTCAATAAATTACAAATAAATTACATACAAACATTTTCATATTTTATAGATATAGATGGTGCTAAAACATTTATATATAATAGTAAATTTATATCCTACCCATGGTTGTATCCCTTTTTCTATTAAAACACCTTCAAAGTTATGGTTTCTTTTTTTTTAAGTTTTGGTTGCATTCCGGTTTATTGGACGTTTTGAAAGAGTATATAAAATAAAACAAATTCTCTAGAATATATAGTATTCTATATACAATATACACAAACATTGTGTTGTTGGTTTTCTTGTTGTTGTTGTAATTCCATTATGGTTTTTGTGTTTTGTTTTGTATTTTTATAATATCTCGCTACATAAATTTAATTTCATGTTTTCGAACGAATTGTGCATTGTGATAACATTTCATTTTTTTTAGTTTTTGTTAAATTAAATAAAATTCAAATCAGGCAACAAAATGAGGAAATTGAAAAAAAAATATTTTCTTTTGGGATTTGTACGTTAATGAAATTCATGGATTTGAATAAACAAAAAATTAAACCAAATCAAAAAGAGAGTTGAAAACAAAATGATTGGAGTATAACATTTGTTTAAAATACATTATTGCATTTTAGCCCCCATCTAGGTATTGTTTTTTTTTTTTTTTTTTTCAATTTTTATGTTTATTATTGTTTAATAATATTATGTCGTGTTCATACATTTGTTTTGTTATTGATATTTTAATTTAATATTGTAATGCTAATTGTATTTGTGTTTATTTGGATTTACATTAAAAAAGTGTAAATTGTTTTTTATTTAAATTTTTAATTGGCAAGCCGTTTATTTTCTTTAAACGTTATTTGTTAATCTCTCTCTGGGTTAATTTTTTATTTATATTTTTTTGTTTGTTGTTTTGTAAATTTCATATTAGATTTGTTATTTGTTGCTAGGTTAGGCTATTCGTTAATATTTTTATTACAATTAAAAATATCTTTTGTTTTGTTTTTGTTTCTTTGCTTTTGTAAAAAAAGTTAAATAAAAATATAGACAATTGTTCTTAATTAAAATAAAAAAATATATAGTATATATGTATGTAAGTACATCATCATCATCATTAATATTTGTTAAAGCAATTGTTGTTTGTTTTCTGTGTCTTTTCTTGTTCTAATTAATTAATTATTTCTTTTTAAATTCAAATTTTCCATTTGAACCCCTCATTTAGTAATTCTAACTAAGTTTTCTAATTTAGTGTGTATGTTTTAATGATAAATATTAAAAAAATCGTTTCCTAATTATTATAATAATGCAATTATTAATAAATTAATAACAAATATTTTTTTAATTTTTTTTAAGGGAATAGGTTTTTTCACAATGAAATTGTTGTGTGTGTGTCGGTGTTAATTTGAATTACATTCATTAAACAAATGAAAAAAGGAATTAAAAAATAATAGTTAATAATATTCGAAAGGAAAATTTCTTGTTTCTTTTAATCATTTGTTTGGCAATTCCCCATCCGCTCAACAGGAGGCTCGTGTTCATCATCATTCGGCTGCCAACTCATCGATGCGACAGCGTACTGCATGCTCAACAACTTCCAGACTGGGGTAGTCCAGCTCTTTCACCAGACACAATGTGGCCGAGAGTAAATTGGAACTCTGGAAAATGATAAAAGAAGAAGAATGTTAATATATATTTATTAAGGATTTTTTTTGAAGGACTTTCAAGGTCATAATCCTAAAATTTGAAGGTATTTCTAGGTTAAAGCTTTAAATTTTTAGGAGCATTTTGAAGGACTTATTGAGTTATAAATGTGGAGTTTTCAAATGATTATTTGTTGAATTTAAGGGTCATTAAAATGCATTTCCAACAGTTTTTGAAAAAATATTTATGTTATAAAAGCCAATTTTGGACGAGATTTAAGGTAAGATTCAAGGTAATTACCTAGAGGTATTTTATTTTAAAATTGGGTTCTGAAGAAATTTCAAGGCCAGAAAAGTGTAGAAGTCTTTAAATGACTTTAGATAACTATAGACACATATTAAAAGGACATCCAAAGCCAAGGACCAATAATATACATTTTGTAATAGACAATGAGAGAATTGTCTTTTAAAAAAGAGATTTTTCAAAAACTTTTGAGGTCATTAACGTGGATTTTTATAGAAAGCTTACATTGGAATTTCAAGCCCACAAATGTTGCTACTTTAAAAATAACATTTTTCAGGACTCTCAATGCCATTGTCGCCAGCTTTTAAAGGAACTTTTTTTGGACTTTCAAGACCTTAAGGTCTTTTTTGTGGAAAAATTTTCAAGGATTTTCATGACATAAAAAATGAAATAAGACTAATAATCTGGATTTTTAAAGAAAGGCATTTTGAAAGCCAATAACTTGGACTGAATGAAATGAAACGTTTTAAAGGACTTTTAAAACCAATCACGTGGCATTTTAAAAGGAAGTTTTCGAAGGACTTTAAAGGCTATAAACTTGGATTTTTGGAAAATTGTTTAAGAAACTTTAAAGAAAATTATAACAAACGTTTAAGTCCAATAACGGGGGAAAGGCTATAGATAGTGGCATTTAAATTGATGAAGGAACTTTTAAGGCCATAAACTTGGACTTAAAACAGGTATTTTGGAGAACTTTCTAGTGCATTAACGTAGATTTTTTTAAACTTAGTTTTGAAGGACTTTCGAGGCCTATAATCTTGACTTTTAAAAGGAAGTTTTTCAAGAACTTTCAAGGACATAAAATAGAATTTTTATAACAATTTTTTAACGAACTTGTAGGGCCATAAACTTGGATTTTTCAAATTCAGGCTTTAAAGGTCTTTCAATGCCCCTAACTTGGGTTTTTAAATTATTTTTTAAAAAGCTTTCAGGAGCATTACCATTCGTACTATAGTGGCCTCCAGTCTTTAAAACAGATTTCTTTTAAGGACTTTTAGGGCCATTAACGTGGATGTTTTATATTAAGTTTTTGAAGAACTTTCAATCCCACAAATTTGGCAATTTTATAAACCAATCATTTAAAGATCTTATGTGAATCCTTAAAAGAGATTTGTTTGAGAACTTTTGTAGATTTTTTAAATAATTATTGAAGGCCTTAATGATTCACATTAAAAGAGTTTTTTTTCAAGCACTTTGTAGATTAAAAAAAAGGACTTTCAGAGCCGTTAACTTGGATTTAAAAGGATTTTGGGGCCATTTTTATAATCTCAGCCATATGGCTACACAGGGTATATATCACTTGATTTGAGGGTGAAAAGGAGCCTCATCGAAATAACGGTTTTGGCCCTAGGTGTCGTTGGTCCATATCCGTTTCAGGAAATTTTAGAGTCGATCTATGAGTGTCCGTCCGTCAAAATGTCCGTGTATCTATCATTGAGTGGTAATATTATTGTCAAACTTAGATCGAGTTTAGAGATTAGTAATATCGGTCGACATTTTCAAAGAAAATATTTTACTGCACAGAAAGAGAAAGGATAATCCGATTTTGCTCCAACTTTGCAATTCCTAATATTTGCATCAGTTCTAGGTCAGGTGTGGGCGAAATGGACGATATCGATCCACTCCTCCCCCATAAAGGGTCAACATTTTGAAGAATTATAGCTCTTATAAAATGTAATGTAAGAGCTTGATTTTCTTCAAATTACACATATCACAATAGTTTCACTAACCCAAGGTCTGGTGTGAAGATGGAATATATCGGTCCACTCTTTATGGTACCTCCCCCACAAGGGGTCAACATTTTGAATAACCAAAACGTTTATAAAATCCGAAATATGCATCCGGTTCTCTTCAAATTTTACAAATGCCATCATTTTTACTAACACAAGATGTGCTGTAAAAAATGGATATATCGGCGCAGATATGGCGACCCACATAGCTTTCAAATTTTTGAAAATTTAGTGTTTTAGTCACCCTTTTTATACAGGCTCCTTCTTCTCTACCAAAAAAATGGCTATAAAGGCATTTTTTTCTCGGAATTGTTTGAAATTTTAGAAGTTCATTCCAAATGGTGTAGGGTATTAACATTTCTACCCGGCTTAAATAAGCTGTTTTTTTTACTTGTTTTAACTATCCTTTCACTCTCAAAAAACTATCCTATATTTTGGGGCAGCTTTTCATTCGTCCACCTATTTTATTTCAGTTACTCACTCTATTAATAGGTCTCCGATGATAGCCGGAATAATGATTTAGAACTGCTGTCGATACTGTGCTGGCTGAGTCGGCATAACGGCCATCGGGTCGCCTAAAAAGATTATTTTTAATCTGTTAATAAAATTCAAATGAACATTATTAATTTGCTACTAACCTTGGTCTGGGCCTCTCATCTTCCCAATCGCCATTCTCCCGGCCATTTCTATAGGCATAACGATCTACAGGTTCGGGACGTTCTGTGCCAGCACTACGCCGTTGACCCATGTGATGTAAAGCCGCTGTACTGCCATAGGGATTTTGGGAGGCATGATGTGGCTGATGATGTTCATCCCATTCGGTTAGATCCGATTGGCTATGGCGATAATGGGCTGGATATGAGGGGCGATCTGATTGATAATATTCCTAAAACAGAGAAAGGCATGTGAATTATTTTTGAAAATTCAAATTTATTGAATTAGTAACTGTTATGGTAATTATTTAATTGAAATTATTTAACAAATAAATTATTATTGAACTGATCTTTTCACTTACCTTCATGGAATGCGTTGAAGCACTGGGTGGTATGGGTGCCCTTTCACGAAACCCTCCACCATGTGGACTTTCCTGATCTGTATCAGGTGATCTCTGTTAGTGTGTATTGTTTGGGGGATGGTGTTCGAATGTTATTTGTTTTTGTAGGTCCATTTTGGTTGGTGTTTAGTTAAAAAAATTGTTAAGGTGGTTAGGTGAATGAGTGGAAACATATATGAATTTTCGAAAAAAATATAGTTATTTTTGTTAATAAAATATATTGATTAGTTGTTGTTTAGTGGATTTAACAATTATAAAAATATAAATATGTGTTATTGTGGGCAACTTAAAATGTGCCTAAAAGTATGCTATACTTTTCTAAGTGAATGCCCTTAAGGAAAACAATTAGGGGTCTCTGATTTGTTTTAACGAAATAGGAGGGATTTTTTAATGGATACATTCATGGCCTATATAGGATCGACCAGTAAGACCAAAAGTAGTCTTTTTAGCCGACCTTACCTACTTTTGTGTATCGAGCTATATTTTTTCTAATGAAAAATAGTCTCATGTAAGCTTTATTTTTTTTTCTATAAAAAAGTGCAGATATTTACATTATTTCTAAAATTTATTTTGTTCTCCCATCCAAATGGCTGGGAAAAACCCTCTTCGCCTAGGTCAAAACTACAATTACAAGTTATTAATTTTATTGCTCATTAGTCAGATGCTTATCACAACGGAAAATGACCAATTGGAAAAAATAGCAAAGAAATGCCGCAACCGCATAAATTGAAAATAAATAGTAAAACCAAAACAAACCCCCATTTATATATGTGGCCATATGAACTGATTCATCCATATTTACTTGTGGCCAACCTATGTGGGATGGTGACAACCATCATTCACATAAAAAAATATAATATTGCAAATGGACAAATCCGGATGTATGATTTACAACTCCCAATTATTGCGTGACTTGAGCCATTATGGCCAGCCGTGGGTGACAAAATGTAGAACACCTACGATTGTAATTTTGAAAATATTATTCCAAAAAAAAAACATGGAAGACGAGGGGTTAAAAAATCCGTCACATATTTTGTGGAGAATTTTTTAAGATTTGTAGAGAAAAATAAAATAACAAGAACAAAATTCAAATTGAAACCAATTTCTGTGAAGAAAATGAATCGTGCTTTGCTTTGATCAATTAACAAGACACAGGCGATAGTTAAACTTGTGTGAACTCATTTAATAATTGTTAAAAATAGAAACAGTGCTTAAAATTCAAGAACGCATAGACAGTGTCTCGGGACCGATATTTTCTTTTTATTATTATTATTGAAAGCTTTTCAAGGTGAATTTTAAATTTAAAATACGGGACACAGACGTGTCCTTTTTGAAGAACATTTAAGGCAATTAAATTAATTTTTAAGAAGAATTTTTGTAAAGACTTCTAGGACCACAATCAAGGATAAATTTTTTTAAGGTCTTTCCAGACCACAATCAGGGATTTTTAAAAATATTTTTTTCAAGGACTTTCAGGACGACAAAGGTGGATTTTTTAAAAAGAATTTCTTTAAGAACTTTCAGCACCGCAATCAGGGATTTTTAAAAAAACTTTTTTAAAGGACGCGGATTTTTGAAAAGAATTTCTTCAAGGACCCTTAACACCACAAACGAGGATTTTTAAAAAGAAATTATCCAAGGACACTCAAGACGACAAACGTGGATTTTGAAAAACGATTCCTTCCAGGAATTTCAATACCACAAACATGGATTTTTAAAAAGGAATTTTTCAAGGACTTTAACCTCCACAAACGTGGATTTTGAAAAAGAATTTCTTTAAGGACTTTTAGGATCACAAACGTGGATTTATAAAAATAATTTCTTCAAGGACTTCCAAGACCACAATCAGGTATTTTTAAAAAGAATTTTCTGAAGGACTTTCAACACCACAATCAGGGATTTTTAAAAAGAATTTCATTAAGGACTTTCAAGACCACATCAGGGATTTTTAAAAAGAATTTCTTAAGGGACTTTCAAGACCACAATCTTTAATTTTTAAAAAGAATTTTTTTAAGGACTTTCATCACCACAAACGTGGATTTTTAAAAAGAATTTCTTCAACGACTTTCAAGACCATAATCATGGATTTTTTAAAAGAATTTTTTTTCACAGAATTCCAATGCCATAAACGTATTTTTAAAAAGAATTTCTTCAAGGACATTCAAGGACCGCAATCAAGGATTTTTAAAAAGAATTGCTTCAAGGACTTTCAGGACCACAAAAAGTTGATTTTTAAACGATTTTCAACGACTTTCAAGGCCACAAACGTGGATTTTTTAAACTAATTTCTTCAAGGACATTCTCAACGCCGATTTTTTAAAAGAATCACAAACGTGAATTTTTAATAGGGACTTTCAAGACCACAAACGTGGATTTTTAAAACTAATTTTTTAGAAGACTTTCAGGACCACAAAAATGGATTTTTAAACGATTTTCAACGATTTTCAACGATTTTCAACGATTTTCAAGGCCACAAACGTGGATTTTTTTACCGATTTTCAACGACTTTCAAGGCCACAAACGTGGATTTTTAAAACTAATTTTTTAAAGGACTTTCAGGACCACAAAAAGTGGAGATTTAAACTATTTTCACAAAAGTGGATTTTTAAAACTAATTTCTTCAAAGACATTCTCAAACGCCGATTTTTTAAAAGAATTTTATGAAGGACTTTCAGGACCACAAACATGAATTTTTAATAAGGACTTTCAAGACCACACACATAGATTTTTAAAATGAATTTTTAAGGACTTTCATCACAACAAACGTGGATTTTTAAAAAGTATTTTTTCAGGACCACAAGTTGGATTTTTAGATACGATTTTTCAGGACCATAGCGTGTGTTTGAAAAAGTATTTTTTCAGGACCTCAACGTAGATTTTAAAAAAATATTTTTGAAGGACTTTCAACTCCACAAACAGGGATTCTTAAAAATAATATTTTAAAGGACTTTTAACACCACAAAAGTGGATTTTTAAAGGACTTTCAGTACCACAAACGTGGATTTAAAAAGAAATCTTCAAGGACTTTCAGGACTACAAGTGGATTTTTAAGAAGAAATTTTGTTAAGAGCTTTCCAGGGTATTTAAGTGGATTTCTAAGAATATTTTTTGGTCGTTAACCAAAAGTGAATTTTTTAAAAGCCTAACGTTAAATTTCGGGAAGAATTTTTGAAGGACTTTTTTTGAAATGTTATGAAATTAGAGCTAAAAATTGAATCCTCTTGTATCAGGATTATGAAAGTTTACATCGCAGAGCAAACCAAAATGGAGGGGGAAAGAAGTCCTATTCAACACTTTTGAAATTTTTCGGATTTATATTCATTGGAATCCGTTTATTTTAGGTATATGGTATCTTCAGCAAATCTGAAGGACATTCAATCAACAAACGGATTTTTAAGGATCATTTTGGTCGTTAACGGCAATTTTTGAAGTGAATTTTTGAAGGTAACGTTAAATTTCGAAAAGAAATTTTTGAAAGATCTTTTCAATTTTTTAAACATTTTTAAATTTTTTCAATATTTTTCAATAATTCCGGAAAAATTCAAATGTTATGAAATTAGAGCTAAAAATAGGAGCCACGTGTATCAGGGTTTTGAAAGTTAACATCGCAAAGCAAACCAGAATATAGCGTGAAAGTTCTCCCCTATTCAACACTTTTGGATATTTTCGGATTACGAATTCCCGAAATCCGTTCATTTTAGATACTCCCTTTAAACGTAGTCTCAGCCTGTCAAAATGTTCTACAAATGTATTTTTCATACAAACATAATTTTAGGCGTTTGAACTCAGACACAAAATTATTCTTGGACCCCTGGGGTCTGTGAATGTGGAAGAGGGAAGACTTGCCCCCATTATTTATGATGTTAACTTTTAAAACACCGATGTACGCGTCGGCCTTTCATAATCTGCTGGGCTCTAGGGCCATAGAAAAAAAATCAGAGAACCCTGGGTCGAAGTTTTTTCCACCGGAACAAAATTCAGCAAACCATGGGTCAAAGTTTTTTCCATAGAAAAAAATTCGCCGGACCTCAGGGGTCTAAGTTTTTTCTATAGAAAAAAATTATAGACCCGTGGGGTCCGGCGAATTGATTTTTTTCTATAGAAAAAAATTCGCCCGGACCCCAAGGCTGCAAGTTTTTTCTATAGAAAAAAATTCGACGGACCCCAGGGCTGCAAGTTTTTTCTATAGAAAACATTTCGTCTCCCCAGGACTGCAAGTTTTTTCTACAGAAAAAGTTTCGTCTCACCCTAGGGCTGCAAGTTTTTTCTATAGAAGAAAATTCGCCGGACCCTAGGGCTGCAAGTTTTTTGTCTATAGAAAAAAATTCGCCGGACCCCAGGGCTGCAAGTTTTTTCTATAGAAAAAAATCGCCGGACCCCAGGGCTGCAAGTTTTTTCTATAGAAAAAAATTCGGCGGACCCCAGGGCTGCAAGTTTTTTCTATAGAAAAAAATTCGCCGGACCCCAGGGCTGCAAGTTTTTTCTATAGAAAAAAATTCGCCGGACCCCAGGGGTCCATGTTTTTTTTTATAGAAAAAAATTCGCCGGACCCCAGGGCTGCAAGTTTTTTCTATAGAAAAAAATTCGCCGGACCCCAGGGGTCCATGTTTTTTTTTATAGAAAAAATTCGCGGAACCCCTGGGGTCCATGTTTATTTTTATTGAAAAAATTTTTTAATCAAAAAAAATTAATCCGAGCCAATTTTACCCGTTGTCAGTTTAAAATCTTAGAAAAAAAATAAAAAAAATTAAATAATTTGTGATTTAAAGCTTACATCATATTGGTGATACGATAGACGATTTTCTTTTGGTGTTGGATTATATTTTGGCGATGGTGAGTGTAGTACTTGTTCCTGTGTTCCAAAAAAGAAGAAAACGAAAAACAAATCCAAAAGAGAGGCAGAGAAAGAGATGGAGAAATAATTAAATGCACAACAGTATAAATAAAATTACTTGCACTGTGGGAAACATGGGGTGATTTATATTTTATTTTTGCAAAATTAAAACTCAAGCAACTCAAAACAAAAAATCGATTTATGGTTGACTACAGCCACAAAAAAAAACAAAAAGAAGACGTAATGAAATCACGAAATCCTATATTTGGAAATGACAACATTTCCATAATCACCCAAAAAAAAAAAGAACATCAACAATAACGAAAATAATATTTCTAATTTCTCAACGAGAAAAAAACAACAACAACAACGAAAATTATTCACAAAATATCGAAATCATATAAATAATAAATAAACAAAATAAATTATTGTAATTTATGCTATACTTGGAAATGAAACATGATTCTCCAAAGAAGAAGAAACGCAATAAAAACAAAACAAAGCAACAGCAACAACAACAGTATTGGAATTCCAAAACAAAATTTGTTCAAATATTTATAAGAAAAATGGGGAAAATCTTTCTCTACTGGGTGAAAGGAGTCAAATTCCAGTACCTGAGAAGGCGTTGAGGCTTTCGATGACGAACCATTGGCATTGTTAGTTTCGCTTACACTTTCTTCGGTTGTGGCAGGACTCGTTTGCTGGGGAGGCTTTGTTGATGTTGTTGTTAATTTTGGAAAATGGCATTGATGTTGTTGTCGTAGCCGTTGTCGTCACACACATTTTTGTCATTTTTAGTGTGATTAATTATTCAATGACATCCAAAGAAATGTTTCGTTTGTTATTGGCAGCAGACATGGAACGGAGCGAGCAAAAAAGTTAAGCAAAAAATTATTATTCCAAAGAGAACAATTTTAGAAATCATACCAACGCAAAGAAGGAAAGAAAGACTTTTGCACATAAATTTTGTATCACATTTAAGTGAAAGGTCATGACCCGGAGAGAATATAACAAAAATGCTAAAAATTGCATATTTGCTTCAAAAAAGCAAATATTCTTAAACACCAAAATTTAGAGACGTCAAAAAATAAGAAATTATATTAAATTTATTTTTCACCCAAGGGCTTTGGTCCTAAATTAAGTACCAGATGGTACCTTTCGTCCGTATTTCTAGTCAAATAACCAACTACAAGCTTCACTCCAAAATTAAACATTCCAGCTTTAATGGTCTTCATTCTACCAATTGTACCGGATGAAGTACTATTTTGTGCTTTTCGTACAACGTACCGTAAACTACAAATCAAACTTAAAACTACTAACCCTATGCAATCCTCCAGTACTAATTCTACCAAATTTAGTACCATTTCGTACAATTGTATTTGGAATGTTCACAATTAACTTATTTTTTTATCCCAAATTATATCTCAATCCAAAAATTACAATTTGTACCAGATTGGGTACTACTTTGTAATTTTCGTTCTCTAAACACATCTTCTAATTTAAAACCAATTAAAAAAGTAGCTATATTCGAGGGGGCCGAACTTTTAATGCCCTCCACCATTTCGAAGGAACTTGACAAATTTAAAAAAAATCCGAAAACTACCACTTAAATGAAAACAGGGGACTACGAAGACGTGGACCTGCATACGAATTTTTTTGTCATAGGCTGTAGTGCCCATTACGAACTTCAAATACAAAATCTGTTACAATTACGGTAAATAATGTCGCAAAAATCATGAAAATACGGAGCATCGGAAGGTACCGTCACATGGGGGCTAACATCGCAAACATCATAAAAATACAGATTATCGGGAGGTACCGTCATATGGGGGCTAAACAAAGACGTGGACCTGCATACGATTTTTTTTTTTGCCATAAGTTGTAGTACCCGTTAAGATCTTTCAATACGAAATTTGAAACGATTCGCGTGATTAACATCCGTTATATGGGGGCTATACGAGGACGTGGACCTGCATATAAAAATTTTTCTCATAGGCTGTAGTACCCATTACGATCTTCAAATACGATATTCGAAATAGATCTGGTAAATAATGTCGCTAAAATCATGAAAATATCGAATAACGGGAGGTACCGTTCTACGGGGGCTATACGAAGATCTGGACCAGCATACGCAATTTTTTGTCATAGGTTATAGTACCCATTAGGATCTTCCAGTACAAAATATTAAACGATTCCGGTGAATAATGTTGCTGAAATTATAAAAATGCCAAATATCGTTATATGGGGGGCTATACGAAAACATGGACCGACATGACCCATTTACGAACCTATCCTGCCTACTGGTAAACTATGCATGTATGCAAAATTTTAGCATTCTATCTCAATTCGTTCGAAAGATAGCGTGAATAGAACAGACAGACGGACAGACAAGCAGACGGACATCGCTAGATCGTCTTAGAATTTTACGCTGATCCAGAATATATACACATTGTAGGATCTATTATGAATATTTCGAGGAGTTACAAACGGATCGACAAAGTTAATATACCCTTCATAAAATGGTGGAGGGTATAAAAATACCAACTTTTAATCTATTTCTAACTTTAGAAACTTCTAGCTCTTTTAATCGTGATCAAAGCAAATGGTACAGAATTTAGTACCATTTTGTACACTACATACATACATATTACATATTTTCAAAATCATATTTTTCACAATAACCAACAAAATCTCAAAAAATTTAAATTTCAATAGAAAATATTTGATTTTTTAAAATATTGCCAATGGTACGAAATTTCGTAACATTTCGCACTTTTGATACACCTATGGAACAAATATACAAAATCTCTCCTTATATCAATATATAAGACAATATTCTTTCTCATAACAATTTTCCGCAAGCAAAATGGTACACGATTTTGTAACTTTTAGTATTTTTGTACTATTTCAAAGCGAAAGTTATGTTCACAATTCTGCGCTCCAGATCCTTCTTTCAAATTAAATCACAATTCTGACTGCACGGTTAGTACCTTTTAGTACTTTTCGTCCACTAGTAGTGAGAAATCTATAAGAAAATTAAAATAGTACTTTTCATTATTTTCTGTTGATGAAAAGTTCCGATTTTGGTTTTCAGAATTGCTCAGAGCCAATGGTACAAATTTAGTACCTTAATGTACTTTTAGTGCGAAATTCATAGGCAAAGCCACATCAATGAAAAATTCCTTGACTATTTGTTTATAAAAAAAAAAACACATAAAAAAAATGATTTATCACTTTGGGATCAATCAGGATCAATGGTCCAATATTTTGTACCTTTATGTACTTTTCGTAACATTTTTGTGTAAAGTTCCCATAGTCATAAAATTTATAATTTAATTACTTTTAGAGCCATATATAAACATTTAGAATTTGTTTATCTTTCAAGAAACAAATTCCTAATGGGTACTACAGCCTATGACCGAAAATTGCATAGGCAGGTACAGGTCTTTTTAAAACATACATACAACCATGGTACAATGAAGAGAAGGTAGGTCAACTTTAAAAAAAATGCAAGTATAGAGGTCTACCTGTTTGGCTTGTAATGTCAGAATTAGTATCAAAACAATAAAAAATCAAACAACTTGTTGCATTAATTTTGAACAAATAATTGAAAACCGCGAAAACTGAATGAAAGGTCAACATTTCTTTTCAAAATCATGTTCTATATATCTCTTATGGTTTATTTCGCGACATAAACTGTAGACTTTGTCGATGCATATGTTGCAATAAGCATTTTGAAAACACCCGAATTTGAATATTTTCGGAACAATTTTTTTATTATTGAAAAGAATATGCACACATAAACAAATGAAGTTGACATATTAAGCCAGAAAAATAAAAAAATTGAAATCATATGGTAGTTCTGCCCTACCTTGAATTTATTGTACCATGCATACAACGGTGCATCCATATATTCACTATTTTGAAGATTTTAGCGACATTATTCACCAGTAATGTATTAAATTTCATATTGGAAGTTTCTAATGCGTACTACAGACTAAGACCGAAAATTTCATATACAGGTCCATTCTATGTGTTTTCTCCCCATATAACGGTACCTCCCTATATTCGTTCTTTTTTTTTCTATTTTACCGACATTATTCACCGGCATTGTTTCTAGTTTCGTATTTGAATATCGTAATGGCCTATGACAAAAATTGCATATTCAGGTCGAAGTCTTCGTATAGGCCCCAATATAACCGTAACTCCTTTTATTAGGTATTTTTATGATTTTGCTTTATTTTTTTATTTGCAAATTCCTTCCAAATGGTGAAGGTTATTCAAAGTTCGGGCCGACCGAACTTACTACTTTTCCACTTGTGTTCATTTAATACCAAGACACAGCATTTGGTATTTTTGGTACCATTAGTAATCTTTTAGTCCGAAATTAAAAAAATAGTGTCATATCCCAAGTTAAGTACACTATAGTAGTATAGTATCATTTAGTTTATATTTGCTCGATATTACCAAATTTCCGAACTCTAGATTTATTCCTTCGTAAAATACCATGTCGCAACATTTGTTATCTTTTTAGTATCCTTTTTGTTCTTATTTGCAATATTGCAACCGTATCTCATCCCGAAAGACCAACAATTGTTCAGAATTAAAGCTTGATCCTTTCGTTCAATAGCATACTAGAGCATTTGGCACGTTTTTGTACCCTTTTAGTTCGATTTAAAAATAAATTATATCTCAATTCTACTCCCATCAGTGACCTCGATTTCAAATTTCAAGGTTCTTTCTTTGCCCGTTCACTCAACAGCATAAATCAGTATTAGGTAATATTTAGTACATTTAGTACTTTCTCTCAACCCTATCGGTGGCCCTTATTTCTGAATAAAAGCTTGGCCTTTTCGTTAATATCATGATAGACATATTGGTACGTTTTTGTACAATTCTAGTTCGATATCCAAAAAAAATAGATTATATCGCAATCCTACACCCATCAGTGACCTTGATTTCAAATTTCAAGGTTCTTGCTTTAAACGTTCACTCAAAAGCATAAATCAGCATTTGGAAATATTTAGTACATTTTGCTACCCTTCAAAAAATACTACTTTCTCTCAACCCTATCAGTGGCCCTTATTTCTTAATTTAGAATTCCAGCTTTATCCGTTCGCTCAACAGGTTGTATCAGCATTTGGAACTTTTGAGTATCTTTAGTGGAAAATTTCAGAATTATGACATAATCTTTTCGCCCAATACCATAGCACAGAATCTCGTACGTTTTAGTACCCACTACATTGCTAACAACAAATGTGGTCATCAATTCATATTTGAAAATTATAGCTTTAATCATCCTCAGTATACCATGATCGATTTTTTAGTACACTTAGTACGGTTTGAGTTCGAATATACAAAATGCATACACCCTTGGCACAAGTGTCGATCAATATTTGTACCCTACAACACTATGTGTTGGGGGTATTATAAGTTTGATTGGACCAAAAATTATGTAACACCTCGAAAAATTGGTTTCCCACATAGGAAAGTATATATGGATCTTCCTATCTCGCCGAGCTGAGTCGATCTAGCTATGTATGTCCGTCTGTCCATGTTAATTTGTAATCAAGCTACAGGTCGCAATTATGGCCTGATCCTCACGAAATTGAAAATGGAGGTGGGGTTAGGGTCAGAATAGAACCCTATTGTTTTTGGAGATGATTGCAAAATATTTAGTGGTTGAAATGGACCAAAAACAGAAAATTGTCCTGATTTTGCAGATGCTCTCTAGGCCACAATTATGAAGCAATCGACGCGGAAATTTACTTGGAGTTAGAGTTTAGGACTGGGCTGAAGCCCCAAATTTGGGCGGCCATCGGACAATATTTAGCGAGTAAAATAGACCCTAACTTTATGTAAGAAAATTGTTGTCATATTTTTTATCGCATGCGATTTTTCCAATTTGACAAACAATTTTGGATTTAACATTTTCTAAATTTTTACACATCTCAACACTACACTTTGAGGGTATTATATGTATGTCACGACATTGAATGGTGTAGCGTCAGGGTCAGAATTAAAACCTATTGTTATTAAGATGTAAATTTTGAATTTCAAATGGACTAAAAAATGTTTTTATTTTTTTTAATTCGTATTCGCTCTATAGGCTACAAAAGAAAACTAATCGACACGGAATTTCGCATCAGGATAAAGTTAAGTACAGGGAAGAATTCTAGCATTTTGGATGACTACTGGATTATATTTAACTATAAAAAGGGACCACAACTTTCGTGTGAAATTGTCTTAAGTACAACACGATGGAGTGCGTAAATATTGGCCAAATTCTCCGGGTCAAAAACCTAAAGGTAACATCTGGGCAGGGCTCTTTGACATTATTACAAAAACGAAATCTTCCAAAAATGAATTTGGATATAAGGAGACTTCAAACATATTATAGTGTTGTAGGGTATCACATCATCGGCCCCGCACGACTATAGCCTTTGCTTACTTGTTTCAATATAAAATGCCAAATGCCCATCATATCTCACTTCTACTGTATAGACCAGCAGTGACCCAATTTCAAAATCATAGCGGTACCGGTTCACTAAATTCCATGACAGATTCTCTGGTGCGTTTCAGTACCTTTTTTGTTCGAATTTCCAAAAATGTGGTCACATCCCACCGCAGTCATATCCCAAAAGTAAATTATGTTTCGAATTTCAGAACTCTTGCTTTACCCGTTCGCCAAATACAATGGCACATCAAAGGGTATATTTTAGTACTTTTAGCATCATTTTAGTTTAAATTTCCACAGCACCCATAAACCCCTTAGTCATTAATAATTTCCATTGGTTAGCTTAACAACAAAACAACCACAATCCAAGTTTCAAGGTACAGGGTACAAAAGAAGAAGAAGAAGCATGGCACGATTTTCAACTTACTTTTCCACCTACCTCTTTTTGTGGACTTGAACTTCTTCGATATTGTGGCTGAGGTGGTTGTTGTTGTTGTGATTGCCGTTGTTGCTGTTCTTGTTGTTGCTGCTGTTGACGGTATTGCTGTTGTTGCTGCTGTTGTTGTTGTTCGTAATATTGTTGTTGTTGCTGCTGTTGTTGTTTCTGTTGCTCCTGCAGTTGTTGTTGTTCATAGGCATCATCATATGGATCATCTTCGACGGCCGCACTGCCACCTCCTCCACCGCCGCCGCCACCACTGCCAGCCCGCAATGCTTCGTCCACTTCCTCTTGTGTCACTTCGACGTTATCCAATTTCTTGAGATTTGGCAGAGCACGCAATACAATTGCGCGATAACTGAAAACGAAAAAGGAGAGTCATGCATTAGTGTTTGGAGTTATGTTTTGAAGTTTTTAGAAGGGCTAAAATTGGAGATTTGTAAAAATTTAAGAAAAGTTTAAAAAGGGTACGAAAGGTCTAATTGTATTAAATGTTGTGTGTTGATGTACCAAGTACGTAAAGGTAGAATTAAACCCGGAAAGAAAGTCTTAAAGTCGGGCGGGCGGGCCGACTTTATGATACCTACACCACTTTACTAATTTAGTAGAGCTCCGCATAACAATTAAAACTTTTTATGGGAGAATTCCATCATACACGCTATGATTATAATTATAATTTAAAGTTTAAAGGACTAAATATGCCGAAGCATTTGTATCTTTTAAATTCGGACTTGTATTGCCCATTTGGTGCTCAATTAATTTGAAATCGGATAAAGCTGTATATGGGAGCTATATCCAAATCGGAACCGATCTCGATAAAATTTGGCAAAAATATTTCTGAGGTGTATTTGATATATATCCCTGAATATCGTTGTTACGGAGTGCATATTACGGCTGTGGGTAACAAATATAACAAATCGGATGAACAGTATATATGGGAGCTATAGCTATATCTGAACCGATCTTCACCAAATTTGACATACTAGCTTCTAGACTCAATTCGGACGTAAGTGCCAAATTTCATCCCATTTGGACAAATATTAGACGTTTGGTGCACAATAAAAGGTAAATCGGACGAAGTTATATATGGGAGATATATCCAAATCTGGACCGATCACGATAAAATTTAGCAAATGTATTTCTGACCTGTATTTAATATATTTCCCCAAATATTGTTGTTTCAGAGTGCATATTACGGCTGCGGAGGACAAAAATAACAAATCGGATGAACAATATATATGGGAGCTATAGCTATATCTGAACCGATTTGGATCAAATTTGTCATACTTATTTTCAGGCCTAATTTGGTTGTATGTGCAAAATTCCATACTATTCGGACCGATATTACACATTTGGTACACAATAAAAGGCAAATCGGACGAAGATATATATGGGAGCTATATCTAAATTTTGACCGATTATCTCCAATTTCAATAGGGTTCGTCCTTGAGCCAAACAAATGATTTGTGCAAAATTTCATCAGGATCCGACAATAAATGCAACCTGTACTTTGTTTACAAAAATACATGGATAGATGGACGGACGGACATGCATAAATCGACTCGGAATGTGATTCTATGCAGATCATCAAAAGGAACTATGGGTCTATCTCGTTTCCTTCTCCATGTTCCAAACAAATGCACAAAGACATAATACCCTGACCACCTTGTGGTGTAGGATATAAAAATCGAGGTTCACTATTTTAATGAAGGTTTGAGATATTACTATATTTAGGAAATTCGAACTAAAAGAGTACTAAAAATGCTATGATGTACTAAAAACTGAATACTTTGTATTTGACAAAAGGAATGAGCTGAAATTCTGAAATTTGGAATGAGAGACAATGATGGAGTGCAGCAAAGATGTACCAAAGGGTTTTTGGAAACTCGAACTTTTAAGTTACGAAAAGTTCTAAAATCGTACTAAACTCCCAAAATTGTACCATTTGGTACTATGTGAACGGATAGAGTTAAAAACTTTAAGTTTGGTGTGAGAATCAAGGTTCGAAAGTAAGTTTAATATGGGAAGGTGATTTGGGTACTAAATTTGGAACAGTTTGGTTTAGGGCGAAGGGATGAAGGTGGCATTTCGAAATTTTGTATTAGGGTTACTGTTGGTGGTATGTTTGTGATAAATAGGTGGTTTTGGACATGTGTACTGCCAGTGTACGAAAAGTACTAAATAGTACTATATTTGGTACAATTTGGTATTGGGTGAACAGATAGAGCTAAAAACTTGAAATTCGGTATGAGCATAACTTTCCAATTACTGGAAGGTAAATTTGATATATGAAAGTGATTTTGGAAATGTGTACTAAATTTGTGAACTGTACTAAATGGTACCGAATTTAGAACAATTTGGGTGAAAGGATGAAGCTGGAGTTTGAAAATTTTCTATTGGCGTCTCTGTTGGTGGTAGATTTGTGATAAATGGGTGGTTTCGGACATATGTACCACAAGTGTACGAAAAGTACTAAATAGTACTATATTTGGTACAATTTGGTATTGAGTGAACAGATAGTGCTTGAAATCTGAAATTTGGTGTTAGAATTGATGTTTATGTGTAGCCTGGACATATGGAGGTGGTTTCAGAAATGTGTACTATAATTGTAAGAGAAGTACTAAATGGTACTAAATTTGGTATTGGATGAAGGGATAGATCTGAGACCGCTTGAATCCCGAAATTTGATATTAAGGTCTCTGGTGTTTAGATTTGGTAGTGGTTTGGAAATGCGTCTTACATTTGTACGAAAAGTACTAAATAGTACTATATTTGGTACAATTTGTTATTGGGTGAACATATAGCGCTTGAAATCTGAAATTTGATGTTAGGATCGTTGTTCATGTGTAGCCAGGACATATGGAGGTTGTTTCGGAAATTTGTATTATAATTGTACAAAAAGTGCTAAATAGTACTAAATTTGGTATTGGGTGAAGACAGAATTTCTGAAATTTGATATTGAGGTATTTGTTGATATGTGGGATTGAGATATAGAGGTGTACGAAAAGTACTATAAGTACTATGTTTGGCATTGAATGAAAGGAAGGGCTGAAACAGCTGGAATCCCGAAATTTGATATTGAGGTCTCTGTCGATAAATGGTGTTAAGATTTGTCAGTGGTTTGGAAATGCGTCCTATATTTGTAAGATTTAGTACTAGATGGTACTAAATTTAGTATTGGGTAAAGCGATACGGCTGGAATCCTCAAATTTGATATTGAGGTCTCTGTTGGTATCTGGAATTGAGATATCGAGGCTGTTTTGGAAATGTGTACTATAATATTACGAAAAGTACTAAATAGTACTAAAATTTGGTATTGAGAGAAGGAATAGAGCTGGAACTGAGATATGGATATGGATTTGGAAGTGTGTGCTACAACTGTACGCAAAGTACTAAATAGTACTAAAAAGGTATTTGATTAAGGGAAAGAACTGGAATCCCGAAATTTGATATTGAGTTCTTTATTGGTATCTGGAATTGAGATATGGAGGTGCTTTCGGAAATGAGTACTATAATTGTACGAAAAGTACTGAATACTACTAGATTTAGTTTTGGGTGAAGAGATAGAGCTGAGACAGTTTGAATACCGACATTTTATATTTAGGTCTCTATTGGTAACTGATGTTGAGATTTCGTAGTGGTTTGGAAATGCGTCGTACAACTGTACGAAGAGTACTAAATTTGCTATTTGGTGAACAATGCAAAATTCAAGAGTTGTAGCCCTTGCGAATCACTCAGTAAAATGGTTGTACTATTTATTTAGTACTTTTCGTACCCTTAAACTAAAAATTTACAAAAATCCCGATTTAGGACACCCGAAATTGTCTCTCGTTTAAAAATTCAAAGTTGTAGTTTTAATTATCTACACCACTTTTTGTACTCTTACAGGGTGACATAAAAAACTGCAACCAACTTCAGACTGGTGTCATTTCTAAGCCACGGAAGAAAACAGCAACATCAGCAGAAATGGTTCGAAAAGTAAAGAAGCGATTTTATCGATCACCACCCGCGTCGCAGTGGCCAAAAAATGGCTCGTGAGCTGAACATATCGCAATATTCCATTCGCCAAATATTGAAAACTGAGGTCGGGGTAAAGCCATTGAAAATCCAAAAAGTGGAAGAACTTACACCGCAACAGAAAGAAAATAGATTCAAAAGAGCTAAAGATTTGCTTCGCTTGGCCGAAAGTGGGGAAGTGCCGAATTTGGTTTTCTCAGTCTCCGATGAGGAAACATTCGTTGTCCAGCAGTCTGTACAACAACAACAAAATGATCGTGTTTACTTGCCAAAGAGGTCAGCTGAAAATGTGCACCTTCGGTTGGTCACCAGAACTCAAGCGCCGGCATAACAGCCGCCAGGTCGCTCTCCGCTCGTATTAACCGACCGTGGCATCAGAATAAATGTGTCTGGAATATTTTGGAAAGCAAGGTTGGTACTAAAAAATACCAAAGTGTCGATCACTTCAAGCTTCGCCGGAATGGGCCAAAATACCGCAGAGCAACGTTCGGGCAGCGTGTGACGGTTTCATTGGCCGTTTGAAGGCCATAATTCGCGGCAAAGGTGATCAAATCGAACGAATCTAAACTTATTCTTAAATTTGATGCTATTTGCGAAAATTTTTAATTTCACTCAATAAAATTTTAAACAAAAATTTAAATATGATATCGTTTAATTTTTGTTGCAGTTTTTTTATCTCACCCTGTATATGGGAGTATCGAAAATTCCACAATATCTTAAATTTTTAAACCAAAGGTTAGCCCTATACAGCATTTCATTGTACAAACTTTAACGGATCGCTCACTAACCATTTGGTGCCTTATACCATTTTTCATACCCAAAATACGAGTCTCCCGTATCTCAAAAATTGCGACATATCTCCACATGTACCTTAACGAAAAATTTAAAATTCTAGCTCTTTTCGAACGCTTCGTAACAATATTTTGTCTTTTAGTACCTCTCCTACATTTTATACTTGAATTCCCAAAAATTCCGATGCATCTTAACCCTCCATACTCAAGAAAATTTCAAAGTCCTACCTCTCACTGATCGCTCATTAACACTGTTGTCGAATTGTGTACCATTTAATACTTTACGTACCCTTTAAGACCACTTTTCGTTCCCTTTAAGTACCCCTCGCACAAATTCAAACTCATAATGAAACATGGGCAATACTTACGCAGGTCCAACTCGCTCACAGCACGGATTCTCCTCCAGCCACAGATACTTGAGATTTGGTAGATTTTGCAGATAGGCAATTTCATTTATGTCCTGAATGCAATTTTTTCGTAAATATAATTCCTGTAGTTTCAGGCAGTCTTCGAATGGCTGTAGGGTGCTGATTTTGTTGACACTGGAAGAGAAAAAGAGTAAAGAGTGAGAGAGGTAAGTATAAATAAAAAAATAAATGGTAAGTGTGAAACAAAGAATTACTCAATTAATTGTTGTTGTTGCAATCAAAACAAGAATGGTGGGAAAATAAATAAAGAAAAACTTAAATATATATCTACAAATATATAAATTCCAATCAAGCCGAACAAAGGAAAAGTAAATGAAGCCATACCCAGGCAGGCTGGCAGACAGACAATCAAACAAAGCCAGTCAGCCAGCCAGCCAGACAAGTGAATGGAACTGCTCGACTGAGCCCGCGGTCTGGCTAGTTTATTTCTTCACATTAATTTTCCTGCTCCCCACCCGTCCCTCCTCCCGCCTATCTGTCTGCCATTCAAATTGGGGTCAACAATCTGTTGCTTTGTCGCTCTAAGAAAGAAAACTCAAATGATTTTAAACTTATGATATGATCGCCGCCGTCATTGTTTATCTGATCTGCAACAACAATAACAACAAATAACTGGAGAGGAAAAACACATTGTCGGAAAACATATAAATCTTCATAACGACAATCGCTCCATCCAACCATGTCTCGAACGAAGTTCGTGTGAATACGCCGTCTGTCTTTTGCATTGAAAATATGCGACAAATTCTCTAATGAAAATGATTATCTTTTCATTCATGGAGATCATGACCCGCAATTTCATAGAAAAACATTTGTAAGCTTAGCCTTTATAAATATTTTGTTTGTGTCACGCAAGGCTAGACAAGTTCACTATTACAAGTTTCGTCGAAAGTTTCGTGTCAAATGACATTTGCGAAATTGTTGACCTTAGAACAATGTAATTTCTTCTGGTTTTTCATTTGGCTTGATGTCAGAATTTAAAAAAGAAACAGACGAATTTAATTTTTTATATTTCAATTTATTTTTCCGATATTTCGACTATCTTTGATAGTCATCATCAGGGAGTTTGAGAGAGTTAAACCCTCAGCTATATGGCTAGAGAGGGTATGCGGGGTGTAATGAAAAAACTGCAACCAACTTCAGACTGCTGTCATTTCTAAGCCACTTGTCCGACAGCTGTTAAAATTATTCCAGTGACAGCTAATTCTATTGTTTACAAGCCTACAAAACCATTTTAGTGAGAATTTTCCAGAAAAAACTTATTCGTGATGGAATTCAAGCGTGATATTGTGATTTCTTTTTATTTGGCTGGAAACCCACAAGTGGCTATCGTTAAAGCACTCCAGTTTTTAAATGTGAATAAATCTTTTGTGTCTCGTATCACCGCTCGTTACCGTGATTCTGGTAGCGTAGCCCGACATCAAGGAAGTGGACGGAAGAAAACAGCAACATCAGCCAGAATGGTTCGAAAAAGCGTAAAGAAGCGACTTGATCGAAACTCGATCAGTGGCCGAAAAATGGCGCGTGAGCTGAACATATCGCAATATTCCATTCGGCAAATATTGAATGGGCCAAAATGAGCGCGAGGTAAAGCCATTAAAGTTCCAATAGATAAAAAAGCTATAAGTTCGGCCGGACCGAACTTTGAATACCCTCCACCATTTGGAACGAATTTGGCAATTCTCAAAAACAATAAAATCCGTTAAAAAATCCTTAAAATACCACCTGTAGCTGTTATATTAGGGTCTATACGACGACGTGGACCTGCATAGGTAACATTTATCTCATCCCATTACAAATGCCAAACTTAAAAAATTCGGTAAAAAATCATCAAAATACCGAACATCGGAAGGTAGCTACATGGCCCATTTTCAATACCAAAAGTCCTACAGACATAACATACGTTTGAGTAAAATTTTATCAATCTACTTCAATTAGTTCGAAAGCTAGATTTTCACAGGCGGAGAGACGGACGCACATTGCTAAAACGACATTGAATTTTATGCTGATCAAGAATATATATACTTTGTGGGGTCTAAAATGTGTACTTCGAGGTATTACAAACGGAATGACAAACTAATATACCCTCTATTCTATGGTGGAGGATATTAAAAGTTCAAGAACTTACACCGCAACAGAAAGAAAATAGACTCAAATGAGCTAAAGAATTGCTTCGCTTGGCCGAAAGTGGTGAACTGCCGAATTGGGGTTTCTCCTTCTCCGATGAGAAAACATTTGTTGTCCGGTAGTTTGTAAACAAACAAAATGATCGTGTTTACTTGCCATAAAAGTCAGCTGAAAATGTCCACCTTCGGTTGGCCACCAGAACTCAAGCGCCGGCGCCGGCCATGGTGATGGTGTGGGCCGTCACGACAGCCGATGGTCGCTCTCCGCTCGTATTAATCAACCGTGGCATCAGAATAAATGCCGAATATTATCGCAAAAATGTTCTGGAGGGTGTATTGAAGCCTTCAACACCAAATATTTTGACCGCAGACCTTGGACATTCCAACAGGACTCGGCACCATCGCACTCAGCACGCGCCACCCAAGAATGATTACAAAATGAGGTTTTTCGCTTCATTTCCAGCGCACAATGACCACCAAAATCTCCGGATACCAATCCGTTGGACTATTGTGTCTGGAGTATTTTTGAAAGCAAAGTTGGCACTAGAAAATACCAATGTGTCGATCACCTCAAGCAAGCGCTTCACCGGCAATGGGCCAAAATACCGCAGAGCAACATTCGGGCAGAGAGTGACGGTTTCATTGGCTGTTTGAAGGAATAATGAATAATTCGTGCCAAAGGTGACCAATTCCAACAAAGCTATACTTATTCTCAAGTTTGATGCTTTTTCCGACATTTTTGCTTTCATTCAATAAAATTTAAAACAAGTAAAAACGCTGTAAGTTCGGCCGGGCCGAACTTTGAATCCCCCTCACCATTTGGTACAAATTTAAAAATTTTCAAAAAAATAAAATCAGTTAAAAATTCTTAAAAATACCGAATGTAGCCGTTATATATATACGACGTCGTGGACCTGCATAGGCTTGCTTTTGTCACAAGCTATTACAATATTCAAATGCGAAACTTGAAAAAAACTTTGTTTATAATGTAGCTAAAATCATCAAAGTACCGAATATAGGGAGGTACCATGGGGGTTATAAAACGTGGACCTGCACAGACAATTTCCTGTCATAGGCTGTAGTATTCATTAAGAACTTCAAATGCCAAATTTGAAATAATTCCGGTAAATAATGTCGCTAAAATCATCAAAATACCGAATATCGGGGGTACCGTTATATGGGGGCTATACGAAGACGTGGACCTACATGGCCCATTTTCTGTCTTAGGATGTAGTATCCATTACGAACTTCACATACCAAATTTGAAACAATTACGGTAAATAATGTCTTTAAAATCATATATATGGGGGCTATACGACGACGTGGACCTACATGGTCCATTTTCAATACCAAAAGTCCTGCAGACATAATACACATTTGAGTAAAATTTCATCAACCTACTAACCATCCACCAACTTGTGAGAATCGCAATATGTTTATTTAACTTTTGCTATGTGTTAAGATTTTTGAAAAATATACTTCCTGGCCGAAAATTGTGGATTTTGGTGAAGGACATCATTGTTTGTTTGGATTTCAGGACCAAGATTGGTGTACTTTCAATTTACATAAGTCGACTTTTTAAGAATGTTTGCATAAAATTTCTTGTAAAAAAACTTATATTTTTTAAAACATGTTCTCTGCTACTTCCCGCAAAAGCGGAAATATCAAAAAAAAATATTTTTGAAAAAAAATTTTTTGACCAAGAATCGGAGATTTTATAAAACATTTTTTAAGAGCTTCGTAAATTTTTCATTAAATCTAGGTTTATAAGAAAATCCTGGAATAAATATTGGGTTTTTGGAGAATATTCACTTTTTTTGTAAATAATAAAAAACAATGCATCTGGTCGGATATGACTTATAGGATGACGGAATAATCTATTGGCAAACCGACATGTATTTTCTAACTCAGTAGTTTAACAACGAGAATGCAATGTAGCTGGGTTTACAAGTTCGTATTTCTTTTTTTTTTATTTGAACTATTTATTTGCCTTAGCTTCCACCCTGCATGGTCATCATCATCATAATTAGTTGAACTAATTCGTCTAGTGTTTTTCTTTCGACTTTCTCAGTTAATAACAAATAAAAAAAAACAATGGTCCATGAAGGTCTCACCGGCTCACCTAACTTTCCATCTCGTTATAGTCTTCATTCATCCCCTCCGTCCATTAAAGGTGTATTATGTATGCTCTGCTGCCCAACATAATGATCTTGGGATGAAACAACGAAAAAACCGCTTAATTCGTTCAACGTCATTAAAGAAAAGTGAAAAGAAATACATTTTCTATTTAAGATCTGCTGCTGGGTGCTGCACTTTCTTCTTCATTCTTTCGGACGTCGTTATTTGTTGTTGCTGCTGTTCATTTCTTTAAATAACAAACAGCTCCGGGCAAAAATGTTTCTAAAGAGTTTCCTCATTTGTTTACTTCCCCATTTTTATTGGGATGTCATGTTGTCGTTGTTGTATTTTTTTATGTTTACAAATTTAAAGATAGATTTTGAATATCGTGTTGTGTCAAGCGACAAGGAAAAGAAGTAGGGTTACCAAAAAAGAGGGTTTTTCTTAACCAGTATGATTTAGGGTAGAAATTGATATACCTTCAACCTAAGAGCTTGATATCCGTTTTGAAGAAAATGGTTTATTTGCCCTCAGTCTTATATCTATAGAGACAGCAACGTATGCGGGGATGCCTTGGTAACCGGACCCATTTGGAATGATATTTTTTATACCCTCCACCATAGTATGTCATTCCGTTTGTAACACCTCGAAATATACATTTTAAACCCCACAAAGAATATATTCTGGATCCGCATAAAATTCTATGTCGATTTAACGATGACAGTCCGTCTGTCTATCTGTCCGTCCGTCAGTGGAAATCACCCTAGCTTCCGAACGAATTGAAGTAGGTTGGTAAAATTTTACACAAATGTGTGTTTGGAATGTAGGATTTTAGTATTTAATATGGGCTATATAGGTCCACTTTATGTATAG